ATCTTGATTTAATATTTATACCAATTTTACTAAAGTACCACTGAGTCTATAAGAATTTCTCAGAATTCAATAAAATCTATGAAATCTTGCTGTTCTACCAATGTCTAAAAATTAATTCTACTATTTAATCTCTTGTTAGATGAAAACAATGACGAGTAATTTTATTAAGGAAAAAATATGTTCTATTTAGGTAAATTATTTTGCTGTAGGAGATTATCATTGATTTCATTCACTGACACATGGTATCTAACATAAAGATCTCAATTATTATTGTTTCTTTCTGAAGCAAACAAGTTGTCATCGATATTTTATTGGTTATTTATTTTCTATAAATCCAAAATTTATTATCTTATAATGAACGAGTTGCTCATGATAATTCATGGAAATATGACCTTTTTTTTTTCTATGACAGATATTCAAGCAGCGATTGTTAGTACTATTAACATTTATTTTGATTCGGTAAATAAAAAATTGAATGTGAATCAATAACAAAGAAAGTGTTTTATCATTTAAGAATTAAAAAAAGAATAATCATTGTCGACCAAGATAAGAAAAAAAAAACATTTAAAAAAACTGGAAATTCTAATAGAATTTTATTTAAACGTGCTGATAATTTTGATCATTAAAATAAATGAAATATTTCTTTTTTAATTTTTTTTTTATTGTAAGATTCTATTCCCGTACTTGTTTTCCAAGCACGAGACGATCTTTTATTTCATGCTAAATCTATCGAACCAGTGAAACTTGGTGAATCATTATGTTATTTTGATTAACAAAAAGATATTAATATTAAAAAGAAAAATAAAAGATAGCGAATTATTAACTCTTGCGACTAAAGGTAATGAAATTTCAAATAAAGATGAAAATCTTAATATGAATCAAGCAGGGAAAAAAATATCAAGCAAGAATAATTTATTCATACAATTACACCTAACGCAGCGATTGATGACAGGAAAGTGATATCGAATAACAATTAAGAAACATGATCTTCTAATTTACAAATTTAAATATTTTATTGAACTTTTAATATTACACATACATTTAGTAAATCAAAGTTTGTTTCTGATTTATATCTATTTCTTGCTTTATATTATAATTTATTGATATCGAAATAAAATGCTTTAATATATTCGACAAATACTTATAAGCAGAAATAGCTGATGGTTAGTCGAAGAGATAATAATCTAATAAAATGACGCTTTTATGTAATAGACTCATATGATAATAGAAGGAATATTTCCAACAAAAATTATGTAAAGAAAGGAAAAATAAAAACCAAATATAGATATATAATTGCTTGTTTTTCAAACATAATTCGAATATAATTTCTTATGTTCTTTTTTTCCAAAAGCAAAAATATATGTGTTCACATATTATAATGATCCATAACGAATGAATCATTTATTGTAATAGACATCATGCTTTAATAAAATCAAAATTAGGATTCTTATATTGATTCAGAAAAAATATATTGTTAGAAGCGTTCGAGAAAGACAAATAGGAAGTTATTTCCTATTTGTCAAAATTTATATAGTATACTGTTGTGTATGGAAATATTTTCTTTTTTTTATTTATATACGCTCGATTTTTGTGAACTCTCTTTAACAGTGTACAAACTTCCGAACAGAAGGCGTATTCATATATCTACTCATTGATAGCTTACTTCTAATGTCACTAAAGCAGTCAAAAACTTTCACTACTCTGGCAAACAATATTTGCCTTTATGCATTATTATGTCTACAAGCAAGGTTTACGATTCTTTTTTTTTCCTCGAATAAATCATCTTTGCATGACACAATGATAGTTTTTCTCATTGGTTCTTTGCAACGATATTTAGAAATTATTTTCTTGTCTACAAAATTATTTTTGCGTTCTTCTCTCGTCTCCATATTACATTGACTCATGACTTCTAGAAAGCCAGTAGGAGGTATTTAAATGAGTGATATTCACATCATATTCATTCATAATAATGCTACGAATAAAGAAAGATTCTTCTTTTGTTACGCCAGATTCAGACAAGCAATACGTATCATTGAAAAATGTAAGAATTGAGGCATACATTAGTGTGGGGTGTGGGTGTGGAAGTACATGAGTATACATCTGAAACTAACACCCACACCCGTCTCTTCAATAAAACGAAAAGTTAGTAGCGGCTCAGGTAAGTCTTGAACAGAATTTCGTGATTTTTGAAGCTATTAAATTAGTCTTGGTTGCAGATTGTGCCTGTGCTAGTATTGTTCGAGGCTCTCAACCACGTACATCAAGGAGCAGCATAATCTTGGCGGATGATGTGAAACTCAATTGTTGGAAAACATAGAGAAAGATGATAGATATCGCACAGATATTGGTACAGCAGATTAAAACCGAAACATATAGCAAAAAGAAGCACACCAGTAGCCAAAAAGACGAGGAATACGATGCTAATGATATCGCTTACGATAATCCATATTGTCAAATACGTCAATCGATAACAGTGATCAATGTGACGTGTTGACACGGCCTATATGCAAAATTTCACTATAAAGCTTAATCTAAAGAAAATTCAAATCTCCTGTTTTTTTCAGACTAGCATATGTAAGTCTAATAACAGGGATATATACTTAGTTTGGATCGGTGAAAGCACTCACAAAAGATATCGATGTTCGTGGATGTTCGTAGGTCAAAAAAAACCATGATTTTTTAGAAAAAATTTGTATATTCTAGTATTTGGGGTGTTAGTGAATGTTCGTAAAATCAGTTCAACGAGCTCTATCTATTCAGAGTCTTAGTTGTCGATTTGGAAATATTCGTGTCTTTTACAATACCCTTAGAAAAACTGATTAATGGTTTGCGAAGTCTTGTTTTTCTCGAATTTAATTCTTCGGATTATTCAGCAAAATCATTTTTTAAAGGTGGTACAAGATAACTAATAATTGAACGTAAGTTATGGTGGGTCTCACTAATTCAGTGGCTTGTGTCGTCATTTATCTTGTTTAGTTAACTTCTCCGTTTTTGTTTACGGTAGAGAGATGCATTGTGTAACATCAAAATAAATACTCAAATGTTTTCCTTCTGCTGCCAAAATATCCATTTGATCATAAACTTTTTCATCATTCCTAATTAATGCTTGCGATTGAACTATATGTCCGGATATTTTCAACGCAACCATGCATGTTCTGCCTGAATCGCGAAGAATGAGTTTGGTGCAGTGTTAAGAATGGCTGTCGCAAGTGTTAAACCAGGTTCGTTGTTTTTTACTGCAAGATTTCTAAAAATTATGGAATCAGACTTCATAAATGCTTTAATTTGAAATGACATGATGCAAGATTTTTGTGAAACCAGTGAGATGAATCTCAATGATCTTGTTCCTATTTTACATCGCAATGAAACTGCCTCTGATGAAAAGCCGCAATAGGTTACCCTCAAAATCTGATCAGTTTGACGAAACCTGAAATCTTAAAAAAGTTATTTTCATAGAGCTAATTGCATTCAATGAAAAATTATTAGGGAGCATTTACCCAGTGAATATTGATGAATAAATATGAACAGTTTTGCAAATTCGAGCAATCATATTGATAAATTCCTATGTATTTAGACCTGCCGTCACCGTTTTGTAACCGTGTGGTTGCTCAACGTACAGTCACTTCCTTCAAATAAATTGCCTTTAAAAGAAACATGGTAAAAGAATATGTGTGATTGATGGCGTATTCGCATGCCTTTCTTTCTTTCTCTCATGAATCAGAAAAGCGACAACTTTTTTCTTTCATCCTTGCTTCTTGCTTGGTCATTAATCAACGTAATAGAAAAATAGAAAAAGTAATGTCGTACATTCATAGAAAGAAAAGATTTATTTACGAATGAAAAATGTTCGACAAAGAAGAGAAAGGGAAAAATAAACCACACTAATACAACATAATGTAGTGTATCTCCGTACGTCTGTTTCAGCTCAACAGTCACCCGACTCAAGTGAGGAGGCTGAGGGTGGATGGTTGACTATGAAGTGAATCCCTCACCTTCACGTGCCCCTCCTTTTTCTTCATTGGACATTATTACTGGTTTTAAATTCGTTCAAAAACAGCTGTTAGTACAATCCTTACGGGATTAAAAAATGAAACACTATATGGTGTGGGATGTAGCTATGATTATTCGGATCATCTTTACACCCATATCAACGCCCACACCCCACACTCAAAATTCAACCACAACTCCGTTCTGCTGCAAAATATAAAAGCTTTTGTGCGTTTCCACATCTTCTTTCTATTATTGTGTTCTTTACTGTACGTAAGATACAGAAAAATAAGTATGATATGGCAAACGATCACGTGTTTGGCATAGCATTGGTGAAAGTTGCTAATTGTAAGCCAAAATAGAATAAATCTGAATTTGATAGAATAAACTGATCATAAAATTGAGAAACATGATATTGCTGTTGGATTTATTTCCATCAATATTTTTGCATAATTTTAAAATAGCGAGAGTAAATAGTCCATTTAAAGTTCACTGAGTAATCACCAATATCCATACAGCCACACCCTAATGTTCCCAAAGATACATAGGAAGTAGGAAAAACTAGAATTCTATGTACCCCTCACACTGAAGACTGTTCCGGACACAGGAAAACTAAGAATTCGCAAAATTTCGAACATTTCAAACAGTGCGTGATATGTGCGGTTCTCAGGAATGCAGGGGAAATAAGAGTTCAAAGAATTCTAAGTATTCGAAGGCTAGCAGGCACTGTAGGCATTCCAAGCTCTTTCGTCTGTTTGTGAATGTGAAGGATCATCGAAGCGCTAGGAAATCCAAGTAATCAAAGCCATCCTTTTTTGAAGGAAGTCAGCCATATAGTCATCCTGTTTTATATTTTTTATCTTATGCTTTCCCAAGCATCCCAAAGGTTGTATATGAATGTACAGTGATAGATATGTAATTTCTTTTAATAAATTTTAAGAACGTACGATTAGTTAATTAAGTTAATTTTGTAATTAGCAATAGATTAATCAGTCTTCTAGTTCGTTACAGTCTTATGCATTTGAATCGATATTGAATTTTTGTACTCGATGATTTCCGAAGTCGGCGACATAGAAATTACCGTGTCGATCGAATGACAAACCGAAGGGCTTATTGAGTTGGTTTGATTGTCCTCCTTGACCGTTTCCACCAACAATGACAGTTCCCTGTATGGCTCCTTTGGGCCAACGCATGATTCGATTATTCCCAAGATCAGTCACATAGACAGTGCCCAATTGATCGACAACGACTCCTTGAGGAGATGACAATTGTGTAAGATCATTTCCTTCTCCTTGACCACCAGCTACGACAATGCCTTGTTTTGCACCTTCCACCCATTTCATCACACGATGATTTCCACAATCAGACACATACACTGAATGATCTCGATTGACGAATACGTGACATGGCCAATTGAGTTGATGAAGACGATTGCCACGTCCGTTGTCACCTGCAACCACTATTCCTTGAGATTCTCCTCTTCGATATCGTCTCACTTCATGTTTTCCCTCGTCAACGGCATAGAGAGATCCATTCTCATCCATTGTCAAACCAATACAATTGATGTTGGAGATGCTTATTTCTCCAATTGTTCCATTTTGACGAGGCCATCGAACCACTCTTCTATTCGAACGATCGCAAATTATGAGATTATCTGTCTCTTTGTCCACAATCATACTTAATGGGTTAGACAATTGATGAGCCCCACTTCCTTGTCCATTTCCACCGGCAACCACTTGGCCACTCGCCGCACTCGATTTCCATTCCACAATACGGTGATTCAATTGATCAACGACATAGACCGTTTGATCATCATCAACAAATAAATCCAATGGACATGAGAGTTGATTGATTCCATTGCCTTGTCCATTTCCTCCAGCCACGGTGTGACCTTCTTGTTGCCATCGAGCATTGGGATGAGTGGCAGTTGAACTGGCACGCAAGGGAGGAACTGAAATAGAGAGAAAGGAGTGGATAAAGTAAGAAAAACAAGGAAAAAGGGACAGTGTATATGGAGAAAAAAACACGGGAAGTCTGTTTGAGTTTTTTCAAAATTTGCCGATTATTCTTGAAAAAATTGAAGGAAACAGTTTTCTTTCGTATTTTTGATAACTAAAATACTCTGCTCCGTTCTATTTTTTTTTGAGCTTGTTTGCTTTCTCCGATATTTCATCTAGTAGACTTTTAAGCAAGGTACGTTCCGTTGTCGTTTGTATTCGAAAGGCGGCATTTCTTTTGTTCACTAATTTGTTTTGGAAGTATGGTTTATGAAAAGTGCAAGGGCGAAACAACTTAAATAAGATTTTCTTTGAAGTCTTTTTTTCATTTAAAGTTGGTAAAAAAAGGATAAAAATTAGCACTTTCTTCCTTCGGAAAAGTGAATGGAAAGCGTATTTAGAAAGTGAAACTTTATTGGTTACCATAGAGATGATTTAAGAGACTTCTTTCGATTACGCATAGCTTTTGCAGTTATAACGTATAGAAGTATTCAGGAGCATAATTTAGAGACTAAAAGAATATATTTTAAAATTTAGATGTAGTTCGACAGCTTATCCAAGTGGAAGTCTGAATTTATCAAATAAAATTGTGTATTTCCTCAAAAAAAAAATCAATTCAAAGGATGGTTCAAATCCTGCTCATCTACAAATGATATACGATAGACTAGAAATACATATTTATAGATTCAGTCTTTCATCAACATTCTTTCACTTTCAAACCAAAAAGAGAAGGAAAAAAGAAAAATATTGCCTGGTTAGCTGCCTACAAGCGTGGTCAATCGTTACGAAATTTTATTTTTTGAACTTTCTCTAATCTGATTATTTCTCGTAGCAAAAGAAGAAAATTCTGTGAAATTTCTACCAACAGTAGGGACTTTCTGGATTTACAATTCCTCATTAATTTTAGTCATTTTCATTCAAGCACAGCAGAGTTATATTGACAAAATACTAGCCGGTACGGAATTCCAAAAAATAGAATTCTTTTAGCAAGCACTTAGAATTAAGTATCTTGCTATGAAAGGAGACGACACACAGGAAAGCACTAAATATCAAAGTTTTGCAGTCGTCACGCGAGCTTTCAATATATCAATCTCTATTCGGATAAAAACGACAGAATGATATAAATATCTAAAAACAATATGAAAGATGCTACAGCTCAAACTTCAAAATTCTGATATAGTATCAATTAGATTCATTTATATTCTGTTCTGCTATTTGTTGAATCACATATTTTACTTATTCTATTTTAATCAGTTTTTCTTACTATACAGGGTGTTCCAAAAGTCCGGACGAAAAAGAAAATTCCATATCTCCACCGCTCTTTCACCAAATGAGCTTATTTTTTCCCTGTTGGTGGAGAATAGTTTAAAGTTTTGTTTCATAAGAAAACCGTTAACAGATACTGCTCTGAGCTATCACTTTTGACTTCAATATTGAAATGTACCTATTTTCGATTTTTAAAAGAGCCACTTTCGCTAAAGATTTACCGAGATGATTAAATGATTTTGAGGCCATATTTTCTCCAGTGGTAGGGAACCACTAGACTATAACAACTACCAAAGGGCTCATGCTATTGTTCGACTTTCGCCAGGATATAGAATTCTTACTAACTTATTCCCTCTATGACCCCAACTTTTATGGAATAAAATTATGGTTTCGAATTTTGATCTGAATCTTTGCCCATATTGAGGTTTCAGTTAGACTAGCTTGTGTGCAAAATTTCCGAATCTTTTGATGTAGTCTTCCTGAGATATGAGTTTTTAAAAAATTTAGGTGTTTTTTCATCGACATTCTGCAAACAATGGATATTTTGAAAAATTCATATCTCGGAAAGACTAGATCAAAAAATTCAGAAATTTTGCACACAAGCTAGTCTAACTGAGGCCTCAATGTGGACAAAATTTCAGGTCAAAATGAATCGTCTTGGAGACTCTCCAGCGAAAGTCGTGTTTTAAAAATCGAAAACAGGTACATTTCGATATTGAAGTCAAAAGTGATAGCTCAGAGCAGTATCTGTTAACGGTTTTCTTATGAAACAAAACTTAACTATCCTCCGCCAACAGGGAAAAAATAAGCTGATTTGGTGAAAGAGTGGTGGAGATATGGAATTTTCTTTTTCGTCCGGACTTTTGGAACACCCTGTATAAGTATTAAAGAGACGGCAAGTGCAAGCTCAATAACTCAACATGGGTACCAGCTAGGGATTTGAGATTTTCAGCAATCGAAAGAGGAATATTCTGGATGTCTTTTTGTTTTTCATGTTATGTAAGACAAAATTATTTTTTAGAATCTATTGTCTTCACAAGACATTCAAAAACACGCATGAAAATGGTATTCCGTTTAGAAGATTTCACAAAAAATCAAAAGAATTTCATTTAATGTGACGAAATAGATACGCGATTTTGTGTGTTCAACATTGAGATGTAAAAAATAATCACATGAATGATACTTTGAAGTATAAATCTCAAGACCTTCTATCTGAAGCACATATGAAAGGCAACCTTATGTAGAAATGGAACACTTTTTACTTGGATTTTTTTTGAATGTTTTGCACCAGTAATAGATTTTAGAATACTTCTGTCTTATGTAATATCAGATGAAATTGGAACCAAATGACTATTGAGCATTTACATATGAAGGACGCTCCTCTGCAAAATTTCATTAAGTCAAAACTTTGTATCTTGAATTAAATTTGTTTTAGTCTCGAACCTGATAGAAGTTGTCGTGTTGATCACGGATATTATGTTTTTATTAAAGTTTGGTTGAATAATATAGAAAATACTAAGACTTTTCTGGTTCAGATTCTTATAAGACTTCTTTACAGAGACAAAACTCGTTTCTGACGCCTGAAATATTTCAAATTTAAATCAGTGACAGACTTCTTTAATAAAAATGCAAGTTATATCTTGTGTTTTACAACTAAAAGTGTGAGTGTTCTGAGGCTATTACACTACTCTGCGAATTGTAGATTTGGCTTCTAGGTGCTCGTAGAATACCTGATCCACATTTTTTTCCTGATAAAAACACCTATGCAACAAGAAGCAAATAAGATAAAATTGCATATGTATACTATAAGTTTGGAAATGGATGGGAGCTCTCTTATCGAGTTACGAACAAGAAACTTTTCATTAACGCTGACAAATTTGAAAAATCGGCCCTTGTAACAAGGTATTATCAAATCAATGACTATAATATTTCTCACAGATTTTTTCGATTTTGAATAGAGCACAAAAGCTTGGATTAGTAGAAACTCAATCAAGTATTTCAAAAAGCAACCTCAGAAAAGACTTTGAGATCAAGAACTGTTTATTTTCTATTAATAACTAAAAAGTATCTAAATCAGAAAGGTTCTCATATTTTCCAAACTATTCGACCAAACTTCAATAAAAATATGATATTCGTGATCAACACGACGAGTTCTATCAGGTTCGATATAAAACTTCCTTTTCGGTCCCGAACAGTATCCCAGGTACAAAAAAAGGGTGAAATCATATTTCAAAGTCTTGATCTAACGAAAAATCTGAGAAGAGTGTTCTCATATGTAAATGCGCAATTGTCATTTGGTTGATATTTCGTGAAATTCTGTAGCGATGTATTTTTTTGAAAAAGTTCACAAAAGATAAAGGAAAATTTAATGAAAAGTAATTAATCTGATAACTCATCAAAATATGTATCTTCAGAAGCAAGTTTTTGGGATTTTCAGTAATGGCCCGAAGAGCGTGATATGGTGTGGAGCTGGGTCTCACCTATTTGCAAAGAAAAAATGTCGTTCTTCTAACAGAATGCATAGAAAAGAACTTCAATTCTCTTAAGAGAAAACAAATATTTTCTCCGATTGGAGAGAGTTGTACCTTTGACATCATAGATTGAGTCACCACTGAGAATTTTCAATACTAGCGGGTTCTATTTTAGCGATAATATTAATCAATCAAAGATTGCACAAAAAAATAACTGTCATAGTTAGAGGCAATAACCTTCTGCTCATCATCTTGATAGTGAAAAAGCATTTAGTTTAGGAAAATGAACTTCGATATCTTTTCTGTACTTCTTCCAAATACTGATTGCAGGTCAAAGTTCAATCGAAAAAATCTTTATAAGATGACAAAAAAAAGTAGAATTAGAAATCACATTATCAAAGCCGAAACGAAAATTCAAGTAATCGGTTTTTTGACTTTTACAAAATTTCAACGTCCTTTGCGATCGAGAATAATAAAAAAAAGAACTTTTCACGCCAGAAAAATATAGCCATGCTCCCATGTCATGAGAATGAAGTTCTTGATAGTTTATGACTTCTTATGTATGATTTGTCTTTTTCTGTTTTTTGTATATCCTTATAAAATACTTATGCATATTTTCTTTTCGGGGTGTGGGTGTAAAACGGATGAACCACACCTACACCCTACTAGTGGCTATTGGGACTCTATGAAAGTTGGCTAAAGCCTTTTCCAGAAAAGTGAGCCCGAAATTTCAAGATGAAAAATCTTTAATTGAGACTGACATCACCTTGTCAAATCTAGCTAATTTTTCGTGAGCATAATAAATTTATTCAATGTGATATGAGACTCTCGTCCTAGGATGGGAAAGTGTGTTAGCCAATATTCAGAGGTAGGATTTCCAATACGATTGAAGTTTTGTCAGTGAAAAACTTTCAGACTCATATCTCTTGACCATTGACACTAATAAAACCTTTCAAAAGGAACAAAATAAGCAAGGTTTAGAGCCCGAAAAACTTTTTAAAAAATACCGAAAAAAACCGGTGAAGACCAGCCGCTCTTAAAAATTCGACCGGACCGGACTGGCAATCGCCATACTGACTGATTCGGTTCAAAGCATGAGTGTGGGCAATCTCGATTTTAGCCGAAACTAAAAATATCGGAAAGAATAATATAGAAAAAAGAAATAATACAAGTCTCGAAGGATAACATGTGGGCTGTGAGCATGGATAAGTGTATGAGATGTAGGGTGGGAGTGAGGCTGTGGATGAGGGTGGGTATCGTGATAGATGTGGACGTTGTTTTTTATGCAACACTCGCCCTTTTCTACATATCTACTTTTCGATATTCTTCTCTTCGACATATTTACCTTTGGATATTTTCAGTTTTGGTATTTTGTTTTGAACAAAGTAAAAAGAATTCTTAAGTATGTTCAAGAAAACCGGACGTATAGACGATGAGCTCTTCGTAAATAGTGTTTGGATACACTCTTACCTCGTAAAACTTCAAAATTAGTGCCATAGAGGATGAAGAGCTTAATGTCATCGCACCAATAATTTGCCTCATTGCTGTGATTGGCGAATACACTAAACTCGATAGACACTTCCAGTTGTCGCATATTATTATGCAAAACCAAGCTAATATTTCGTTTAGTCGAATCTATGTATACTAAGGATATATCATTGTCGATGCTAGTATGCTGAAACTTACTTAACTTTTGCGAAGCATGGATGTGTCCCGTGTTGCTTATTCCACTCAATTGGATGGCTACACCGATGCTCATGTTTGCACTCAATATAGCTTGGGAGTATGACCAATAATTCAAATCCCACTTGTTTGATAAATTGATGCGTTGCAACATAGTAGCTCCAGTAGTAAATGATTGTAATACGAATTGACAGCTAATATTATTCGTGTCGGATTTCATCGTAGTAACATTGCCACTTTGCAATATCCAACTATCAATAGGATAAATGTTACAGTCAGCATGGCCATTGTTGATCAAGTTCGTATCATGAACAAGTGTTCCATTGGATAGTACAGCGTCTTGGATAGAGAGAGCACTTTGCAGTTGTCTGTCTGTAATAATGGTGTATCTAAAATTAGCCTCGTACAGATTGGCATGAGTAAAACTAACGTTGGTCAAGTCAGCTCCGTTGAACAAAGCACGTTTGATATTTGAGTATTGAAAGCTAGAATGAGATAAAATAATATCATGAAAACCAGCAGCAATGCAAGTTGTTTCTTGAAAATCCGTGTAAGATGCTCTTGTGTCAGTAAAATTGGTTGAAACTAATGAGTAATCGAAAAATACATTTCATGCAAAAGAAAAACAAGGCTATAGTTAGTGAGCCTTACCTAAAATAGCGGATGAAAAATTGACGTTGACGAATTGAACGTCTAAAAATGTGACATAGCTCAGTTCAGCAAATGAAAAGTTGACATTATAGAATGTGGTAGACAAAAACTTGACATTAATTAGTTGCGAATACGAAAAATTGACATTGGAAAGCCAAGCAAATGAAAAATTAACATCATTAAGCAGAGCAAACGAAAAATTGATATTTTCGAGTCTGGTAAATGAAAATTCGTCATTAAACAGCACAGAGGATGAAAAATTCACACGTTCTAGCTGGGCCGATGGCAAGTGGGCATTAGCGAGCGAAACAAATGAAAAACTGGTATCGCTTAGTGAGCTGAATACAAAGTAGACGTTGTGAAGCTCTACATATGAAAAGTTAACACTATCGAATCTAGTGAATGAAAAATTGATATTATGGAGTCGTACAGACGCAAAATTGGTTGTGTCAAACTGGGTACCAGCAAAGTTGACCATCTCCATCTCAATTTCTATGAATGAAGCATTCGAGAGGAATATATCAGTCAATGTTATGTTATTCAATTTCTTTTTATTAATTGCTGAATCACGAAAATCTATATCACGAAGTTCGGCTGTTGAGATGTCCAGTGAGGGACGTTCCTGTGTTTTAGTAAGTTGTCCAGCTTCATAGAGAAATCGAATAATGCGAACATTGCGTTGTGGATCTAATTGGCGAAAGATATTCAGCGTTTTAACTCGAGCAACAGTAGCCATAACGTTATTAGACGTGAGTGAACCATTTCCTTTTTCCAAATATTTAGCCATATCCTTGATATAAGCTACAAGTAGTTCGTCTTGATACTGGCTAGTTGCCAACTCTCCCTGACGGCTCTCTTCTCGTTGACGTTGATACCTCGATTCGTTAAGATCTTCTAGCCGTTGTTCTCGAGCCATTTTTTGTTGATGGACAGTAATGACAATAGTGAATACGCCTAACATAAGTGGAATAATTAGCGAAGAAATGAATTGGAATACATTATTCATTGTTAAAGCCTGGCTTCTGCGATATCGGCTGGTTTGTGTTGCTTGCTCTTGCATGGCCATCTAGCTTCTTTTGTTGTTTCGTGAATGTTACTCTAGTCAGTAAGCAACTGTCAGGCATCCTTATTCTTTACTATTTTGATGTATATGGAACGTGTTTTGCTAGCAAAAGACAATAAAGAGCACTAGATACAGCTTCATTTTCATTAAAATCATGATTCAACAATGTTCTCCTCTGCTGTTATTTTTTTAAAGTTCATTTCTGGAATAAAGCATGCACAGTAAATCTTCATGTATTGGCTTCACTCAAAATGCAATATCGTGAATGCCTTCCAATCTCTCATGTACGCAGGAAGTATGAACGTGAAACTATGGTTGCATAAAATACGAAAGTATCATTGATATGATCAAAGAAGCCTGGCAGGCATGTCTGTGTATAACCCAGTTATGGGTGTGGCTGTGGCTGTGG